TTCTAGGTTGGAGGCCATCGCTTCTAGGTTGGAGGCCATTGCTTCCAGGTTGGAGGCCATCGCTTCCAGGTTGGAGGCCATCGCTTCTAGGTTGGAGGCCATCGCTTTTAGGTTGGAGGCCGTCCCTTGTAGGTTGGAGGCCATTGCTTCCAGGTTGGAGGCCATCGCTTCTAGGTTGGAGGCCATCGCTTCTAGGTTGGACGCCATCGCTTTTAGGTTGGAGGCCATTGCTTCCAGGTTGGAGGCCAATGCTTCCAGGTCGAAGGCCATTGCTTCTATTGGTTGGAGGCCATTGCTTCTAGGTTGGAGGCCAATGCTTCCAGGTCGGAGGCCATTGCTTCTATAGGTTGGTGGTCATCGCTTTTAGGTTGGACTATTGGTTGCAGGCCATTGCTTCTAGGTTGGAGGCCATCTTTTCTAGGTTGGAGGCCATCACTTCTAGGTTGGAGGCCATCGCTTTTGGGTTGGAGGCCAATGCTTCCAGGTCGGAGGCCATTGCTTCTATATATTGGTTGGAGGCCATTGCTTCTAGGTTGCCATTGCTTCTAGGTTGGAGGCCATCGCTTCTAGGTTGGTGGCTTCTAGGTTGGAGGCCATCCTTTCTAGATTGGAGGCCATGGCTTCTAGGTTTGTGGCCATCGCGCCTAGGTTGGAGGCCATCTTTTCTAGGTTGGAGGCTATCGCTTCTGGGTTGGAGGCCATCGCTTTTAGGTTGGAGGCCATTGCTTCCAGGTTGGAGGCCATCGCTTCTAGGTTGGAGGCCATCGCTTCTAGGTTGGAGGCCATCGCTTTTCGGTTGGAGGCCATTGCTTCCAGGTTGGAGGCCATTGCTTCTATTGGTTGGAGGCCATGGCTTCTAGGTTGGAGGCCATTGCTTCTAGGTTGGAGGCCATTGCTTTTAGGTTGGAGGCCATCGCTTTTAGGTTGGAGGCCATTGCTTCTATTGGTTGGAGGCCATTGCTTCTAGGTTGGAGGCCATCTTTTCCAGGTTGGAGGCCATGGCTTCTAGGTTGGTGGCCATCGCTTCTAGGTTGGAGGCCATCTTTTCTAGGTCCTAGGTTGGAGGCCATCGCTTCTAGGTTGAAGGCCATCGCTTTTAGGTTGGAGGCCATTGCTTCCAGGTTGGAGGCCATTGCTTCTATTGGTTGGAGGCCATTGCTTCTTGGTTGGAGGCCATCGCTTCTAGGTTGGAGGCCATCGCTTCTAGGTTGGTGGCCATCGCTTCTAGGTTGGAGGCCATCTTTTCTAGGTTGGAGGCCATCGCTTTTGGGTTGGAGGCCATTGCTTCCAGGTCGGAGGCCATTGCTTCTATTGGTTGGAGGCCATTGCTTTAGGTTGGAGGCCATCGCTTCTAGGTTAGAGGCCATCGCTTCTAGGTTGGAGGCATCTTTTCTAGGTTGGAGGCCATGGCTTCTAGGTTGGAGGCCATTGCTTCTAGGTTGGAAGCCATCGCTTCTAGGTTGGAGGCCCATCGCTTCTAGCTTGGATGCCATGGCTTTTAGGTTGGAGGCCATTGCTTCCAGGTTGGAGGCCACCCGCTTCTATTGGTTGGAGGCCATGGCTTCTAGGTTGGAGGCCATTGCTTCTTCTAGTTTGGAGGCCATCTGTTCTAGGTTGGAGGCCATCGCTTCTAGGTTGGAGGCCATGGCCTCTAGGTTGGAGGCCATTGCTTCTATTGGTTGAAGGCCATTGCTTCTAGGTTGGAGGCCATTCCTTCTTGGTTGGAGGCCATCGCTTCTAGGTTGGAGGCCATCGCTTCTAGGTTGGTGGCCATCGCTTCTAGGTTGGAGGCCATCGCTTCTAGGTTGGAGGCCATCGCTTTTAGGTTGGAGGCCAATGCTTCCAGATCGGAGGCCATTGCTTCTATTGGTTGGAGGCCATCGCTTCTAGGTTGGTGGCTTCTAGGTTGGAGGCCATCCTTTCTAGGTTGGAGGCCATGGCTTCTAGGTTTGTGGCCATCGCTTCTATAGGTTGGAGGCCATCTTTTCTGGGTTGGAGGCCATGGCTTCTAGGTTGGAGGCCATCGCTTTTTTGGTTGGAGGCCATCGCTTGTAGGTTGGAGGCCATTGCTTCCAGGTTGGAGGCCATCGCTTCTAGGTTGGAGGCCATCGCTTCTAGCTTGGAGGCCATCGCTTTTAGGTTGGAGGCCATTGCTTCCAGGTTGGA